TGTGTGTGTGTGTGTGTGTGTGTGTGTGTGTGTGTGTGTGTGTGTGTGTGTGTGTTGGGATACCAGGGATACTCAGGCAAGGTCAGAACATAGACTTCCCCTCCCAGGTCAGTGCTTTTTTCTCTTGCAGACTTCTATGTGAGGCAGGGTCTATGTATCCCTGCCTCTGCCTCCTGAATTCAGGGATCATAGGCATGTGCCACGAGCCTAACTGAAAGATGCTAACTTAACTTTGCTTTGTGCTTTTGACTAGGCTCAATTTTTGTGCCAAACTTTTTCCCTGTGAAGATTGAAGAGTTCACTAGATGTTAGTAAGTTCCTGGTCTGGTAACTTCAGACACCGTAATCCTGCCTCTGCTTCAGAGGTCCAGGGTGTACTATGACTGTTGGAGGACCATCCCTGTAGCTAGGAGACTCTTCCATCACCCTCCACCCACCATCCCCAAGCTTATCTGACTGTGGAACACATTTGTACCTCTTGAGCATGGAGTGTGGTAAATGCACTGAGCAGAAAGTACAGCCTTATATCAACTTGGCAAACCTGACATTGGAAACCTGGCATTGCTCACCAACCCACACAACTTTAAAGGGACAGTTTCTAGGTCTTAGGACTTTAGGTGTATGTGGATCTGTTGGAATACACAGAGACAATACCAGTAAGATGCATTTCTTTACATGGACTGTGTCCTTTTGACCAAGGGCTGGCACAGGATGCAACAGAAGCGGAAGGAATAAGTTTGCATACCTGTTTTTGGTGTTTTGTGGGGGTTTTTTCCCAGTAGTATTCCTATTAATTTTTTAATTGTAATTTTCAAACCTTTTAAAAATTATCATTTTTGTTGTCCTTTTAGGCATCCACAAGCCCAGAGTTCCCCAACAGGCTGTGATGTTGCCTCGGGACATGCACCTAAGGCAGCTGGACATGATGATGCTGAGGTAACCTTCCCTTCAGTCTGGTCCAAGTCCGTGGGCATGGAGCCTGTCTGTGACTGCCGGGCGCAGCCATCCCAACATGAAACTTGCAGTGATATTTTGAAGTCTTTGAGACAAAAGCCTAGCTAAAGAACCTTGGTTCAGTGGAGAGACAGGGCGGTAAAGTGAAGAGAAAATCAAAAGCCTGGAAATCCGCTGCTGAGAATAAACGTTCGCTGCTCCCCGAGGTGATTTGCTGAGTGCTCCGCTCTGCAGATGGTGGAGTCTCTCTCTGAGAGAGGACCTGAGGTTCTCTGGTACACTTTGATACCCTGCTTGAATTCAGCATGTGAAATGGAGGCGTCTCTCTGTGACTTGGAGCCCACAGCAGGCTTTGAAGTCTGATCCAATTTTTGCTGCCTCCTATTTGATGTTGAAAGGGTGAAATGAAGAAAATGTACAGTTTTTGCCAGTAACTCTGCTGAGCATATGTAAGATTAAAAAAACAAAATCCTTTGGATGATGTGCTTAGAAATGGCAGGCAGATTAGTACCTTCCTATAGGTTTTCTTGTTTCTCTCTTAAGGATAAAAATTAAGTAAAGAGGAGAATTAGCACGTGGCTGGGTTTCTGTCCCGGACTGTAAGTAATTGAAGAGGGTATTAGGTGCATAGGATGAAATTAATGAATGAAGTGAAAGGTACTGCAGCGTGGCTCCTAATTGCCCCAGGAGAGGACTGTCACTCAGTTCTATACAAGACGCAGGGAACATACAAATGTCATCAATACAGTCAGGGGCGAGGGTCCCTTAGAGTAATGAAAAGCATGTCCTTAAGGCGACTTCATCAGAAGATAGAAATGACACTTCTCTCACTCAATCTTTTGGTAGCACTCAGTTGCTGGGACCCATGTGTCATCTTCTTGGACATGTCACACTGCTCCAGCTCACCAGAGGCTGAGCCCCTGTGAAGGCCCTCCCAAACCTGGTAAGGAAGACATTTGGAATGCATACAGTTCGACCATTCGTGTGCTGGCATATGTTCCAGTGAGTTGTTTGTGAAGGGCTTTCTAGAAGTCAGGACCCAATTAGTGAGATGATGTAGTGTTAACAGGAAGCCCTAAAAGCTGGGAACAATATTTATATTAAAAAGTAGCTTACATCGGGTGGTAGTACATGCCTTTAATCCCAGCACTCAGGAGGCAGAAGCAGACAGATCTCTGTTGAGTTTGAGGCCAGCCTGGTCTACAAAGAGAGTCCCAGCACAGAGAAACCCTGTCTCAACAAACAAACAAACAAAAAGTAGCAGTTTAAGATGGCCATGGTAGTACAATCCCACTTAGGAGGCAGAGGCAAGAGGGTCAGGGTCCCTGACCAGCCTTGGATACACAGCAAGTTTGAGGCCAGCCTGGGCTACATCACGACTCTCTGCTTCAAACAGCCAAAATACATACATTCATACATTGATGAGTGGTAGCAGTTTATCTCCTACTCATGTGCTTAAATGAATATCAAGAGCCATACTTGCCTTATAAAATCCTGAAATTATGAAACTATTCCTAAGCTTCTTTTGTTAAAACAAAAATAAAGAAATATCTAGATTGTAGCAGAGTCATTCATTCAAGGGCAGAATCTCTGGCTTAGCGATGAATATGGACTTATAAAATACTTCTGCATTCTGGGTAGCAAGGCCATTTACCTAGCAAAAGACATACACCTCATCACTTGTCTTTGGTGCCAATGAATTCTGGTCCCTTTTCAAAATTTGTTGCTATAAAATATGGTGGAAGTCAGTTTCAGGCTCGTGGGCAGCTGCAATCAGTGCTTCTGGAAGATAAAGTATAGAACATGATTGTAGAAAATATTTATGAACAGCTCTATCCCTAGTTCAAGGAAAGAAATCTTGGGGCTGGAAAGACAGCTCAGCAGTTAAGGACACTGATTGCTCTTCTAGAGGACCTCGGTGTGATTTTTGCTCACAACCATCTATAACTCCAGTTCCAAAGAATCTTGTGACATTTTCTGACCTTTGTGGGCACTAGGCACACACAGGGTACATGTATATACATGACACCAAACATTCACTTAAACGCCATTCACTTAAGATAAAACAACAGTAATTTTTAAAAAGGGAGAAGGCTGCCGGGCGGTGGTGGCGCACGCCTTTAATCCCAGCACTCGTGAGGCAGATCCAGGCGGATCTCTGTGAGTTCGAGGCCAGCCTGGGCTACCAAGTGAGTTCCAGGAAAGGCACAAAGCTACACAGAGAAACCCTGTCTCGAAAAACCAAAAAAAAAAAAAGGGAGAAGGCTCTCCACTTCAAATATGGTTGTCAGATTCAGTGTCAACCTGATCTGTTTTGCTGAAGATGTAGTTATTTCTCAGCTCTCTCCAAAATTCTTCTTTACCCGTTTTTTAGTCAGTGAAAATGCAGTGGACTGTGAAGGGGAAATACAGTTGAAATGTCCCAGCCCATGAGGAATTCGTACTCTCAGCAACCAGACAGGATGTGTGCACTACTGTAGAGCCTTCCTCGTGGCTAATGCAATAGATGATGACAAATCTCCAGACACAGTGTTTCCTCACAGCCAGGCAGTGTTCAGGAATGTGGCCATGTTCTCCTTTACAACCCAGGCAGTCCCTGGGCTGTAGACATAGCTTAGCCAGTTAAATGCTGGGCTCACAAGCATGAGGACCTGTTTGCTCTCCAGAACCCACCTAAAAACTCCAGGCTCAGAGGGAGGCAGAGACATGAGGATCCCCAGATTTGCCACACCTATGGTCTAGACCAATTGGTGAGCTCCAGGTTGATGAAAGAGGATGAAGGATGTCCAGTCTCACGGGAGGTAGACAGCATTCTTGAGACAGGACTATGTTCTCTGGGTTACACAGGCATGTGCACCCCCTCCATGCATAAAAAGCAAATAGAATACATGTAATTCCCTAGAAATAAAAGTAAGTGTGGTTGAGTAGCTAGAAGCACAGGTTTAAAGTCAGGCCTCTCTGGATTCACATATCTGCTCTCTGTGAAATGTTAACCAGGTTATGTAATATATCGGTTACTTTTCTCGTCATTTTGACAAAATGAGTTACACATTTTGATAAAAAGCTAGGTATGGTGGTGCATGCTTTTAATTTTGTACTTGGGAGAGAGAGGCAGACAGATCTGTGTGGGTTCGAGGCCAACCTGGTCTACATAGAAAGTTCCAGGCCCCAGCCCATGAACTGGTAATGGCCTACACTCAGGGTGACCTTGCCTCTTCAGTTAAACCTTTCTGGAAATACCCTCTGACGCAGTCTAAAAGGTGCGTTTTCGTAACTGAGAGAGGCAGCAGTTACATGCAGGAGGGCTGCATGGGGACCCATGAGCCAGGGCTAGTGAAGGGCACTACCCAGAGCTTGGCGCACAGTGAGGGGTGCTCAGGGGCTGTGGTGACTTACCGTTTCTACAGACGTACTCAGTATGGGTGGCTGGTGGAGAAATCCAGTTCTTAATGTAAGGCACTGAGTTATGATGGGATCACTCAGGAATAAATGCGTACTAACCAAAGGTGTAAAAGACACTTGTTGAATTACAGTTATTTTTCTAGTCATTAGAAATACACTCCCCGAAGTCAGACTTACTAAGGAGTTGTAAATTTGACGTTTAGAAATGGCTCTTAGGTACTTTTCCACAGCTGTCCCTTCCTTCCAACAGAATCAGCTGCATCTTGGGTCAATGGCCATCACTATTACTTCCCCTTATACTCATAAAAATGGCTTCCACCCTAAGTGGTTTCCCTGGCTCTTTTCCCTCCTTGAACTCCTCTAATGCATGGAAGTCTAAGGAGCATTTCTAGAGCGTAACTCTGCTCACACCATTCCCTTCCTCCACCATCCAGTCACTGAAGGCTTCCTGTGCTCTTGTGCTGGCCTTGCTTTCGGGCTCTGATTCTCACTGATGCCTCTTTCTGTGGTTCAGACTCCCTGAGCTCTCCTCTCCTCTGTGGACACGCCTACCATATTCTCTCTCAGGACTTTGTGCTGTCCCCTCTACTCTGTCAGAATCATCTGTGCTCTTCACGGTCCGTGATAACCCCCATTCTGTGCCCTTTGACTTGGTACACGATATTTCTCTCCTCCTGCCTCGTGTTCCAGCTGTTTCCAGGCTTGAGGTCCATTTTAAACTCTCTGGGGTCACAGTTTATGGATCCTGAAGGTCACCTGGACTTCACATTTACCTAGGCTTTGTCACGGAGCCACATCCTCAGCCTCCTGGATGAGGTTTCTGAACTGATTTCAGGGGCATCTAAAGTCATGATGAAATGTAATGAAAAGAAGGAGGAGAGGAAATTCTCCTGGAGTAAGCATGCCATAGAAAAGACTTAGATGCTAAAACATGTTGGAACAGCATTGAAGTCTCCTGCAACTTAGATATAATGTCATGCTGACTAATGCTCCTTACCAACTTGACTAGATTTAGAAGCACTATGAAAACACACCTCTTGCAGTGTGTCAGAGGGGATTTCCAGAAAGGTTTAACTGAAGAGGCAAGGTCACCCTGAGTGTGGGCATCACCAGTTCGGCAGACTGGGGCTAAATAAGAAAGACAAAGCGAGCTGAGCATCAGCATTCCTATTGCCCTGCTTCCTGACTGTGAACACAACGTGAGCAGGCAACTCACAGTCCAGCCACCATGTCCTCCCCACCAGAGAGAGCTATGTCCTCAGACTGGGCTGAAATAAACCCTTCCTTCTTCAAGATGCTGGCACCAGGTGTTGGGCCCAGCAAGAAGAAAATCAACTAATAAAAACACACTCCTAAACAAACCACTATGATAGAAGTGGTTTCCTTTTGTTGCTGGTTTTTGTTTTGCTTTGAGACTGGGTCTCACTACCTAGCCCAGGCTGGCCTCCAACTCATAGATATCCACCCACCTCTGCCTCCTAAGTGCGGGGGTTACGCATCATCATGCCTTGGTAATTCTCTGTCTTTGATGGCCCATTATTTTAACCTGGTTTCATGGGAGCAAAAAGAAAATACTGTGATCTTTACCATTTGTAAGGAAGCAGCAGCGCCCAGCAGCCTTCCGTTCTGACTTGAGGGACTGACGCCACTGTTCCAGAAAGACTCTGGAGGGCCAGAGGCAGGAAATAAACCCTAAGAGCAGCCATCAAACCAGTCTGCAAAAATGGGACTTGGACAGGGCCCTTAGCTAAAGAGCCCTAGAACTTGTCTCCAGCCAGCCCACATGTGCCTATGCATTGCGCAAATAGATGAGTGTGTTCAGAAAGAGGCAGGCACCCATCACTTTGTTATTAATCCAATCAGCTAAATACTTAATAGGACTGTATATAAACTCTAACCCTAACCATATATATATAAAACTATGTAAAGATGTGCCGGGCGGTGGTGGCGCACGCCTTTAATCCCAGCACTCGGGAGGCAGAGCCAGGCGGATCTCTGTGAGTTCG